CAGGTTGCTCCAAGCCCTGTCTAGCCTGGCCACACAGAAAACATTATTAATTAACAACACTTTAATGAAGACCGACTAAAGACTGATTCCTGCAGGGTCCTCACTCCCTCCCAGCAGCTGTGTGGCTTCAGTAACATCCCTCAGTAAGTTACAAGAATCAGAACTAGTTAATCCTAGTTAATTAATTAACCCCCAGTTCCCTATTCTGTCCTTACTCAAGGCCAACTTGTGTTTATCTCCAAATTCACACAGAACTTGGGGGTTCACACACGAAACAACCTGAAATGCTTCAACTTCCCCCTTTTAAATTCAAACTTCTGAACAAAGAACTGTTCAAAATAGCTTTTGTGCAAGAGTTCAGCCACTAACCCAAATTTAATTCCTTGTTCGGTTCGTTCAGCCCATCCATGACCCATAAAACAGGAGTCAGGGAATGGTTATTTTACACTATAATTTTGGGGGAATTAATTTCTTGTTGCGGAGCACTCGGATGGTTTGAGTACAAAGGGGACAAATATGAAAGGGGGGAGAATAAGCAACCCCTTTCTAGTGATCTGTTAAACATTTCTGACGTGTGCTGGAACACAACCCAGGTTTCCCTGTGGAGGGACACTTTTCTTCCCTCCTAATCACGCCCTGCCTATCTGGTCAGACAAACTGACACTAATGTCAGTTATTCTTGGTTGTCTTGACATCACCATCCTGCCACTGACTTCGCTCAACAGAGCAGAAACTGGGAACACCACTGGAATGGCCACATGTGCCATCCACCCTCCTGCTTCCAGGGCATTTTCCCAGCTGGCTGCCAGAGATCTCACACTGAGGAGCAGCTGAGGAGGCTCAGCCTGGAGCAAATCCCCCCTGAGCCTCCCTTTCTCACTCCCCACAACTCCCTGCTCCCTTCTCCAGCAATGAAGGGTTGATTTCCACAACTTTAAGACCACTTGTGTAGCTATCCCTGTAACTTTAGCACCACTACCTGGACAATTCAGCAGTACTCAACAAACATTCCTCCCCAAATCACCTCTCAGCAGACTTCATTATAAACTCCTCACACTTTCTGGCTGGGGCAGAAGTACAAGAAGCATGGAATGGGACTTTCTGAAGGCAGCAAGACCTCTGAATTTTGAAATGGCTCTGTCCAGGAAGGATCAAATCCCAGCTTTGGCTGCTCGTTCTCCTCAAAATCTCCCATTTCTGGAGTGCTCCATCAGGCAGGAATAACAGTTACAGGACAAGGCCAAGGCAAGGGAAGGCAGAAGTTGCTCTAAATTTGGAACAGCATTTCAAGACAGAATCCCAGAGTCACTGAGGTTGGAAAAGCCCTCCAAGTTCATCGAGTCCATCCTGTGAGCAATCACCACCTTGTCACCCAGCCCAGAGCACTCAGTGCCATGTCCAGGGGATGGGGACTCCACAGTCTCTGGACAGCTCCTTCCAATGCCTGACCACTCTTTCTGTGAAGAAACCCCTCCTGAAAAGGAGAGAGTTTTGCCTAAGCCAGAAGAACACGTGAAGTGTTAAAAGCCAGCCTGGAACCTGAGCTAATGTCAGGGAGGTTTTATAATACACTCCTGCAGCAGGAAGCCACTTCTTCCCTACTTGTATTCTCCACCTCTGCACAGAAATAGGATAATGAGGCACAAGAAATAGGATAATGAGGCACAAGAAATCGGATAATGAGGCACAAGAGGGGCAGTCCAAGCATTCCTGAACCCCGCCAGATTCCAGCCAACATCCCGCCAGGACCAGCTCTCCACCCCACCATCACCAACACGAGCCATCACGCGCCTTTCCTCTCTGTGGTTCCTGAAATTACTCCCCCTGTGCTTGTTCCCAGCTCGTTTTGTTGTTTCACTGCTCCAGCCCTAACCCAGCCCATTGCTCTGAACTCAACAATAAATTATTGATCCCAGCGTATCGCCGATGTCAATGGAGCTGCAGCAGCTCGGGGGAAGGCGATCGATGCTGAAGGGCCACCATGTGACAGCAGGAGCCCAAGGGCCACACAGCCTCAGGGCCAGCACTCAGCCATTGAAAAACAGCAGCTCTCCATCGAGATGGAAACCCAGACCAGTCATTTAACAAAAAACACACTCGGGCAGCCCCACCACCAACACAGACACGGCACCAAACGGGAGGAAGGTGATGCTGTGATTTATGGTTTGAAGCTGCTTCATTTCCATTCAATGCTGACTTTGTTTCTGCTTTATTTAACAGAATGAAGGCACAGCCATGCTCCATTTCCTGAGGCACGTGATCGCTCGCCCTCTTGCCTATTAGAAACCTCCTCCCACCAAAAAGCCACAGGATTATAATTGCTCCACTGAGCAGTACAGTATCTATACCATGATCTACATCTAAGCCATACATACAAGCTTATATAACTGATCAAATTATCTGTGATGGCTCCGGGTCCTCCACCCTGAGAGAACGACACTGCAGAAGCACCCAAACGTGTTAAAATGACCAAAGAAACCTTCGGTCACGTTGTTAGCTTTACATAAAGCACCAAAGTGAAGAACAGGGACTTTCTAAACACAAAAAGGGTGGAAAACCTGAGCACTGGAGCTCTGGGAGGCCTTAGGACAGACCCAGCAGGGAAAGGTCCCAACGGAGTGAAGGGGCTTGTTACTCCTAAAGGCACCAACTCCCCAAGCCCAGAGCTATGCAGAGACCCTAAACAGCTTCACCAACTTGATGTGGCTGCCCCTGAAGAGATCGGGAGGGCGGTGACGGCCCCAGGGGACAGTAATGGGCACAGGGAGTGTCCCATGGGCTCCTCCAGCCTCGCCCACACCTCCTGCCCCCGGGCACCGCTGGAGGAGCCGACCCCAGAGCTTCCCGAACCTCCATCACCGACACAGGAGAACGGGACCATTTCCAGGCCCCATCTCTCCAAAGCAGGGCTGCCCTGGAAAACCACCGCGGTGACGCTTTCCTCCCTTTCAGCTCTAAAGGCGGCGGCAGGAGGGGGACAGGGACCCCGCGCCCCCCACCCCGTTCCTCACAATTAAAGCTTCCCGTGTGAAAAGAGGACGTCCCGGTCACGGCTCCCGGTGCGGGTGGAATGCTGCAGTGAGCCAGGGCCGGGTTACCCGTCAATACTCGGCAAAAACACAACCGGGAGCCGCGAAAGCCGCCCCACCTGCGCGGCCCCTCGGGGGGCTCCCGCCGACCGCTGCGACACGGCGCGGAGGGGACGAGGGTGATCCTCGCACACCCGGGATCACCCTCCAGAGTTCGGCTCGGGGGCCCGAGGGTCCGCACGCAGCTGCTGCCCCTCGCACACGCTCCCCTCGCCAGACTTTCCGACTTCACCCCGGATCATCCGCAGCCGCTGCCGTGGAGCACCTCCCGGCGTCCCCACCCCCACATCGGCTGGGCATCAGTTTGCACCAGAACGCAGGGGGAGGGGAGGAAGACACCCAGATTTTTTAATAGAAAAACCTCGTGAATGTGCAATTCCCTCCCAGCAGGAAGGGAAAAAATAATATAAACCAAATCTGCCCTCGCCATCCCCCCCCCCCCCAAAAAAAATCTGTGGCGGAAGGAAAGAGGGAAGGAAGATGCACAACCACGATGCTGACCCAACATCTGTGTCAGCTGGAACACCAAGACTGCCCCAAGCATCCCCCTGCCCGCCTCTCCTCACCAAAAAAACCCCTCCTGACCTCCAAAATCCCCCCTCCCCGGGCAGGGGAAGCTCTGCATGGCGAGCGGTGGGAGCAGGGGGTGGTGGAGGGACAGAGCAGCGCTGCAGCGAGGGCCAAGAGGGAAGGGACACCGAGGAGAACTCGGGCTCTCCTTTCCTACAATGCACAGAGCACGGCCCCGAATTTGGGGCGTGGGAGGAGGGTCCCGTGGGCCCCCCAAGCTGTGGGGTGGAGGCACGGATGCAGGGAGGGATGCAGGGAGGGATGCAGGAACAGACGGAAGGATGGAAGGACGGGGCCCAGACGGGGCTCCGGGTCCAGGGTGGGCGCAGGGGGCGGCTGCCCCTTCCCAGAGCCAGCCCGCCGGCCGGGGGACGCTGATGCCGGGCCCGGCACCGTCCCCCCACTCCCGCAGGGCCGGGGGCCCGGGGCTGCAGCGGGCGGACCCTCCCGGGCCGGGACAGCGGCTGCCGGAGCCCCGCGGGCAGAGCTGAGCGGGCACAGAGCCGGCCCCCGACCCCCTTCCCTGGGCGCGGGGTGCCCGGGCATCCCTCCACCCAGGGGATGCTGAGAAGGGGCAAGGCTCCGGGACCCTCCTCACGAAGCGGATTTGGGGCTGGGGGCTCCCCAGGCCCTGCACCCCGCACCGCCCCACAACCCGCCTCCGGTGTCCCCGGGGCTCTCCGGGCCGCGCTCTGCGGCAGAGCCCCCGGGGGAGGTGTGCCAAGGGCTACGGGGGGATGGATCTAGCAGGACGGCGAGCGAGGGGAGCTGCGGCTGGAGCCCGCGGGGGTCTCGGGGGCTGCGACTCACCGTGTCGGGCGGGCTCAGCGCGGCCCCGGCGCGGCGCTGCCGGACTGCGGCGCGGGGGGAGCTGCGGGAGGGACTGCGGGTGTCGCCATCTTGGTACGCTCCCGCGGGGGGCGCTCCGCAGGCACCGGGGGGCTGGGGGAGCGGGGAACCCCGGGCCCGGCCCGCCGTCATCACCATCATCATCGTCAGCAGCGTCCGTCCGGGTGCCCACCGGCACATCAGCATCCCTGTGCCCATCACCTGCATCCCTGTGCCCATCACCATCATCAGCATCCCTGTGCCCATCACCATCATCATCGTCAGCAGTGTCCGTCCGGGTGCCCACCGGCACATCAGCATCCCTGTGCCCATCGCCTGCATCCCTGTGCCCATCACCATCACCATCATCAGCATCCCTGTGCCCATCGCCTGCATCCCTGTGCCCATCGCCATCATCAGTGTCCGTGTGTCCATCACCATCATCACCATCATCATCGTCAGCAGCGTCCGTCCGTGTGCCCACCGGCACATCAGCATCCCTGTGCCCATCACCTGCATCCCTATGTCCATCGCCATCATCAGCATCCCCGTGCCCATCACCATCATCAGTATCCATGTGTCCATCATCATCATCATCCCTGTGTCCACCAAGGTCATCCCGGGTCCATCACCATCATCATCGTCACCCCCGTGTCCATTACTGCCTGTATTTGGTGCACCACAGAGTAATTAAAGGTTGGACTCCATCTTGGAGGTCTTTTCCATAAACGACTCTGTGATTCCCACTGTTCAATCTGTTTGTAGCTGCCACAAGGTGGAGGCATGAAAATACAACAGAGATCATTAATGAAGCACCCAATTACTGCCGGCTTTAATTTGCTTTATTGCCACCAGAGGGAAGCGGAGACACACTGGTGGCTTTCCTAGGAAAGCAAAACTCCAGCGCACCCCCAGCAGAACTGTTCCGAGCTCATTAGGGACCACTCATCCCAAGGTTATTAGGGACCTTGGATTCTCCTGGACCCAGAGCAGAGCTGTCACCTGTTAATGGCTGATCCACGCTGCCACCAAATCCTCTGGAAAACTCTGTCGACTGCAGAGCTGACAAAGTCTTCCACAATGTGTTCACGGAGTGGTCAGTGTTGATTTTACCCAAATAAAAACCCAAACTCCACCAGCTGCATGCAGAACTAATGAATGAATAAATTGTTTTATCTCTGTCCATGATTCCCATCAGCCTGGAAGATCACTGGGAGCCGTTCTCACCCACCAAAAGATTTAAGGTGTCCTCGAACTGCAAAGGCCTAAAACTGCTGTTCAGAGAGAGCACAGAGCTGCTGAGCAAACCCAGCAGCTCCCAGGAGCTGGAAAAACAACTCCCTAACAACTCTGAACCGAAACATTAATCAAACCCCTGACAAAATTCCTGCAGAGATCCAGAGCTTGGCTGAGCTCCGAGGGCAGCACAGGCTGCTTTAAGAAATGTGACTGTACCCGGAACTGAAGGAGGGCACTTGCAGAACTTTGCCTGGGGTTACACATGAAGTTGTGCTGCCCAGCTTGGGAACAAACTGGCAGCTCCTCCCCTGGACTCTGGTCACTGCTTGGCTGCAGCTGCACTGTTCAGTCCTCGCCTGTGACCGGACTGAGAAATCAGCTGGAGAAAAGCGTCCTCCAGAGCAACCCAAGCAGCTGAATGTACTCGGAGAGGACAGGAATGCAGCTCTGACTGGGCTCCTGAGCTCTGGAGAAGTTCTGCTCTGTGGATCCTCTGCCCAGGCTGAAAATGGCAGAGGCCACTGCGAGCGTCCTCGTGCTCCGTGCCAGCCTGGCACTGCTCGCCTGGCCCATCTACCTGCTGTCCTTCCTGGGCATCTGGGAGCCTTTCTGCAAGAAGGTCTTCTTTCCTTTCGTCTTAGAAAGGATTTCTGCATTTCACGAGAAGAAATCCAAGAAGCACAAGCAGGAGCTGTTCCGCAATCTGCCTGAATTCAGGGGCCCCTCCGGGCAGCTGCGCCTGCTGGAGATTGGCACCGGCAGCGGCGCCAACTTCCAGTTCTACCCACCGGGCTGCAAAGTCACTTGCACCGACATCAACCCCAGCTTCCAGGAGGGCCTCGCCAGAAACATGAAGAAGAACCAGCACCTGCACTACGAGCAGTTCCTGGTGGCCGCGGGAGAGGACCTGCGGCAGGTGCCCAGCGCCTCGGTGGACGCCGTGGTTTGCACCCTGGTGCTGTGCTCCGTGCACAGCGTCAGCAGCACCCTGAGGGAAGTGCTCCGGGTGCTCCGGCCGGTGAGTACCCGCAAAAAAAACTGGTATTGCCCTTCATGTCTGCTCTAGAGGTACCATGAGCAAGGAAAGGGGAAAAAAACAAAAACAACCTCAAAAATCTCAAAAAAAGCCACAACCTCCCCCCCCCAAAACAAAACAGACAAACAAAAAACAAGTGAAAAAGAGTTGTTTGAGCTTAAAACCCAGACCAAAAAAGGTTAAAAATAGTTGGTTTGAGCTTAAAACACAGACCAAAGAAAAAAGTGAAAAATAGTTGGTTTGCGCTTAAAACTCAGACCAAAAATTAAAAAAAAAACCCAAAAAACCAAAAACAAACAAACAAACAAAAAAAAAAAGAGGTGCCATGAGCAAGGAAAGGGGGAAAAAACAAAAACAACCTCAAAAAACTCAAAAAAAGCCACAAACACCCCCCCCAAACAAAACAGACAAACAAAAAACAAGTGAAAAAGAGTTGTTTGAGCTTAAAACCCAGACCAAAAAGGGTTAAAAATAGTTGGTTTGCGCTTAAAACTCAGACCAAAAATTAAAAAAAAAACCCAAAAAAAGGCACAACCCCCCCCCCCCAAAACAAAACAGACAAACAAAAAACAAGTGAAAAAGAGTTGTTTGAGCTTAAAACCCAGACCAAAAAAGGTTAAAAATAGTTGGTTTGAGCTTAAAACACAGACCAAAGAAAAAAGTGAAAAATAGTTGGTTTGCGCTTAAAACTCAGACCAAAAATTAAAAAAAAAACCAAAAAAACAAAAACAAACAAACAAACAAAAAAAAAAAACAACCAAGTGAAAAAGAGTTGATTTGAGCTTAAAACACACTTTCAGCCTTTAAAGTGGCATTTTCATAGAACCATGGAATGGTTTCGGTTGAGAGGGACCTTGAAGATCATTTAATTCCAAAAAAACCAGTCATGTTAGGAACTGACTGAAACAAAACCACAACAAACTATTGCTGAAATAAAAGAGGAATCAAATAAGTCAGTCCTTTGTGCTTTTTGAATGGGCATTTTGAATCTCTGGACGTTTCCTTCTTTCATTAATTCCAGATAACAGAGGGAAGGGAAAAAGGAAAAGCAAAAGGGAAGGGAGGGGGAAGTGGGAGCCACTTGGTCTGACCCCCACGCCCGCTGTAAGAAGACTCTGTGTTCCCAGGGAGGAGCTTTCTATTTCTTGGAGCACGTGGCTGCTGAGCATTCCAGCTGGACGTATTTTTGGCAGCAAGTCTGTTACCCGACTTGGAAACTCGTCTTTGCTGGATGCTGCCTCACGAGAGAGCTGTGGAAGAATCTGGAAGAGGCAAAGTTCTCCGAGCTGAAGATACAACACATCAGCGTGGCGTTACCCTGGATGCCCATCGAGCCGCACATCGTGGGGTACGGGGTGAAGTAACCCCCGTCCTGCCCCCTGCCCCCCAAAATTCCTCATCGTGACCCACACACCCTGCACGGGCTCCTCCTCCACGTGTGCCCACATCAGTAACTCAGCGAAGGACTTAAATCAGAAACCCAACTGCCAGGTGAGAAGAGAGGGTCAGATTCCTGAGTGTCTCTGAATCACACAATCACAAAGCTGGAAAAGCCCTTTTGGATCACAGTCCAGCGGTTCACTCAGCAGCAGCACCGTGTTCACCACTAAACCATGGCCCCAGGTGCCACATCCGCGTGGTTTTTGAACACTTCCAGGGATGGGCACTCCACCACCACCCTCAGCAGCCTGTGCCAGGGCCTGACAGCCCTTTCCATGAAGAAATCTTTCCTCTTATCTAGTTAAACCTGCCCTGGTATACCTTGAGGGTGTTTCCTTCCTGAAGCTCTGACACTGCTGACCCTGCCTTGCTAGACCCCAGTGCAGCCAGGGCAACAAAAACCAGGCCGGGAAGCAGAAAATAAATGTATTAATGGAAGGGGACTGCTGTCTGTGCCTGGTTGACTCTGGAACAGGGATCCTCCAGGTGCTCCCCAGCTGGCATGTATGTCACTGGGGCTCCATGGCACCTGCTGCCCCCTCCCCACACTCCCTCAGGCGGCTCCACCTGATGGAACCTGATGGAACCTGAACCCCCAAACCTGATCCTTGGCCAAGCTGAGGGTGAGACCCTTGATCCTTGGCCCAGGTGAGGGTGGACCCCCTGACCCTCTGCCCAGGAGAAGGTGGGACCCCCTGACCCTCTGCCCAGGTGAGGGTGGGACCCCCTGACCCTTTTTTCAGGGTGAGGGTGGGACCCCCTGACCCTCTGCCCAGGTGAGGGTGGGACCCCCTGACCCTTTTTTCAGGGTGAGGGTGGGACCCCCTGACCCTCTGCCCAGGTGAGGGTGGGACCCCCTGACCCTTTTTTCAGGGTGAGGGTGGGACCCCTGACCCTCTGCCCAGGTGAGGGTGGGACCCCTGACCCTTTTTTCAGGGTGAGGGCGACCCTTGCCCCCTTCCCCGGCTGAGGGCTGCCCGCCGGCGGTCGCTGAGGGCAGGCCGGCCCCTCCCGTCCCTCACCGGCTCCTCCGTCCGCGCTCCCGCGCCGTCCCCGCCGCCCCAACGGCCCGGCGGCGGTGCCGGTGCCGGTGCCGGTGCCCAGGCCGGCCGTTCCCCGCGGGGTTCCCCGCGGGGCTCCCCTCACGGCCCGCAGCCATCTTCGGGCCTCGCCGGCGATGCGGCGGGCGCGGCCAGCGGGGGGGGCCCGCGGTGCTGCCGCTGCTGCTGCTGCTGCTCGCGGGGCCTCTGCCCGGCGGGGCGGCCCCCACCGAGCCTGTGGACGGTACCGGGAGCCGGCGGGACCCAGCGGGGCCGGGCCGGGGCGGAGGGGTCGGGGAAAGGGGCAGCGAGCGGGGAAGAGCCTGAGCGGAGCGGGGCGAGGGGTGCCGGAGAAGTCTCTCGTTTTACAGAAATCTGGTGAACTCCGTAAAGCAGCGGCGACTGAGCGCACTTAACCACAAATCTATATACCAGAAACACACCTCAGTCGGATAAATAGGCAGTGTTTCACATGGGCTGAGGAAGTCGCGGGCTCCCCGGACGCAGGGGTCTGTGAGGCAGCGAGTCCTGCAGAACAGAGAGATGTGCAGTGATTTTGGCTGGAAGGGCGACACCGTACAGCCCACCCAGTGCCACCCTGCCGTGGCAGCGTCACCTTCCACTGTCCCAGTGCCCCAAGCCCTGTCCAGCCTGGCCTCCAACACTGCCAGGGATCCAGCGGCACCCACGGCTTCTCTGGGCACCCTGTGCCAGGGCCTGCCCACCCTCGCAGGGAGGAATTTCTTCCCACTATCCCTCTAACCCTGCCCTCCCTTGTCCTGGCACTCCAGGCCAATTTATGTGCTCTCTCTCCATCTCTCCTGCAGCTCCTTCAGGCACTGGAAGGCCACAGTTAAGTCAGCCCAAAGCTTTTTGCCTCCAGGCTGAACAATTTCAATTCTCCCAGCCTTTCCCCACAGCAGATCTGCTCCATCCCTCTAAACAACTCGG